TAGTTTACCCCGGACGAGGCGCATATATAGCAGAATATATACAAGCTCAGACCAATATGATTGTTATGGGCCAAATTTGTGTTATCAAAAGTCACATATGTTAGAGTTTTGTTTTGTTTTCAGATCAAGGGTGGCTTCTCTTGTTTTGCCCCAGGGTGGAGATACATGCACAATCTCATTCTAACTGCCCAACCCTACCCTCCTTGGTTTCAGCCCCGAATTCTTTCGTGCCCTCCACCTTCCAGCAGTAGCCTGGGATGACACCACCATCCCTAGCCAATGGGTTTTGTATTTTTTTTAGCTAGAGATGGCGGATTTTTTCGCCATGTGGCCGGCTCGAGTCTCCGAACTCCTTGACCTCAGGTTAATCTGCCACACCTCGCCTTCTTCAAATGCTGGGACTACAGGCTTGAGGCCACCACGCCTGTTCCGATATATTGAGTCTTAATATCCCAATACTTCAGAATGGTGACTGTATTTGGGAGACAGAGTTTTTAAGGAGCCGTCGTTAAGGCTAAGGACCTCTTCAAATTACTTGGGTAGGCCCTGCTCCAATAGGACTGCTGGGTCCGGACGGGGAGACGATGACACTGGCATACCTAAGGAAAGACAGTAGTGGAGGATCACAGGGCAAAAGGCAGCCATCTTAAACTCTCTTCCGCGGTTTGTGGCTGGGTCGCCTGGCGTCTTTTTACAAGCTTGGACGAGAGAGGGCCCCTCAGGAGAAACTTAACTTTGATCTGAGACTTCTAGCTCAGCGGCCTGCGGAAATAAATTTCGGCTGTTCAGCCACCCAGTCTGTGGTTATTTTTGTTATGGCCATCCCACCCTCACACACTAATACAATACTCTACTGAAATGAAATCCTGTATCTTTTTTTTTTTTTTTTTTTTTTTAGACAGAGTTTCTTTTATTCAGGCTCGAGTCCAGTGGCGCCAGATATCTCGGCCTCACTGCAACCTTCCACCTCCCGGTTTCAGTGATTCTCCTGCCTTCAGCTTCCCTGAGTAACTGGGATTACAGCACCACACAACCATAACCGCTAAGTTTGTTGTCATTTTAGTAGAGCCATGGGGTTTCATCATGTTTGGCCCGCTTGGTTTTTCGTGAACCCTGACCTTCAAGTGATCCGCCCATCTCAGCCTCCAAAGTGCTGAGGCGATTACAGCGGAGTTCACAGGATTACAGGGGCCGCATCCGGCTCCTTGTATCTTTTTTGGCCATACTCTCTGATTATGCACATCTTAATTGCATTCCTTAGCCCACAATACTACTGTGATTAGGTAGAAGCAGACGTGCACAGTAACCAGCCATCCACAACTTTGTCAAGGCCATTTTTCTCCCTTTACCATTCTAATCTGTTTTCTGGTATACTATGAAATGTACCATATACAAAAAGTTAGTGTACATTACAATAAGTAAACCAGTAAAAAGATAAAACAGGAACACACACGCACACATACCCATTCCTCTGGCTAGTTTTGGTAGGAGATAAATGCCCCAAGACTATTTAAACAAGACATATTAAAAGCAATATAGAAGCACCATGTACTTATTTATCTATTTTCCACTAAGTACATTATTTTAGGAGACAAAGACGCATATGTGTCTTCTCTTCTGAAACGAAAAATATCACAGATGTCAAAGCAGGTTTCTCTGACTTATACAAGTTGTCTGTCATTACCACAGGACAATGGTTCTTAGACCTAACTTGTGTTGAAATCCAATGGGGTACTGTTTAAAATGCAGACTGGGCACGGTGGCTCATGCCTGTAATCCCAGCACTTTGGGAGGCTGAGGAGGAGGAATCACTTGAAGCCAGGGGTTTGAGAGCAGCCTGGGCAACATAGAGAGATCACTGTCTCAGAAAAATAAAAATAAAGAACATTAGCGAGACATGGTGGTAAACGCTCTAGTGTCTGCTACTTGGGAGGCAGAGATGGGAGGATTCCACTTC